GCTTCTGGCAGAAAAGGTTTCAATAGAAGGTCTTCTATCAAACTGTTCTTATAAGAGCACAACAAGAAGAAAAGGCTGAGGTGTGCTAAATTATATATCTTTTTAAAATGGACTGTGTTATGGACTCAGTGGCAAAAGGTCTGATCAGGTGATGTTTTCAAATTTAAAATGTAATCCAACAATTTAAAATGTTTGTTTCAAATTGTTGTCAGTATGTATAGAGGAGGTCAGAAAAGAGGTACAACAGTCACAGGTCGGCCTCCCCAGAGTCTGGACCTCAACATTAATGAAACAGTCTAAGATCTTGACTGCACAGAACAAAAGACAGCGAGAGTCTAACTGTTAGACTAATTAAACAAAATGACAAGAAAGCTTTCCCAGGACAGCACAGGCTGTGTTAAAGAACAAAGGTGGCCATACCAGACACTGACTGTCCAGAACTGTACAAACTCTGATTTGGCCTTATAGGCTCTTTCCTTTTATATTTGCACATTTCAGTAAGTTGCTGCACCTTTCCCCCCCATTTTCCTTTTTGCACCAAATTGCCTAACATCTCTCCCCATTGCAATTCAATTCTATTCAAGTCTTATTTATACAGCGCATTATCACAACAGCAGTCGCCTCAAGGCGCTTTATATTGTAAGGTAGACCCTACAATAATACATACATGAATGATCTTCACTAATACAAGAAGAAAGTGCTAGAAACTTCTTTAAATCAAATCGTTTCCACTTTGCACTGCAAGTGGTTATTGAATGAGACATGCAATTTTTTTAAAGGTTGAAGTTTTTCACTCTACAAAACGAGTCAGGACATGTTGCACTACTTTATTATCTTTGCATGAAAATATGTTTTTTTAAGACCCACAAATCCCAGTGATTTAAAATGTACAATCGGCACATTTCATTTTGATAAAGCTGTTGGACAACTTCACTTGAAGTAAACTGTTCACAACTGTACGGTTAGATTGCCATTGTTGACTACTATTTCCAGCTCAAGTATCAGCTTTTCTCTCACAAGACCTGCTTCACAAAAAGTTGAATTATGCTCTAAAATGAAAGTAGAGGTTAAATGTCAGATTCTCTATCTGATTTTGAATTCTCTTGATATTGCTATTCCTTTAGAAATTCATTATAGAAGATTAAAGGGACTGTTTTTTTTTTCATCCTTTGAAAGTCCAAGTCCTTGCTCAGTCCCATTTTGAGCTTATAAAAACCCATCTAGGGTGATCTAGGTCACCCTTTGAAAACAGAACGTGGTTAGCATTCAGAGGCATCTGCTAACCTTGTTTTCTAATTTGTTGTACCTTATCTATGGAGAGAGGCTACATGCCCACTCATTCGACAGCTTTCACAGCTGGGAGCAGCCCGGCATAGTCACAGTCCTCTGCTGTTGGCCACAGGGCTGCATCACAGGGGCAAACTGGGGTTAAGTGTCTATGTAAAGGCCAGTTTGAGGGTAGTCACTGGGGGAGGGAGGACAAACATCCACTTTCCCTGCTAAGATTGTTCCTGTTGGTCAGGGGTTTGGAATGGAAACCTTCCAGCTAGAAATCTGCTTGTCCAATCTGACCTTGAAAAATCAGAAATACCAGTGTTGGCCCGCTCCACAGCTCAACTATAAAATATAAAAATGCTTTTTAAAAAAAGATTTGTTACAGTTTTTGCTACACAGCCCTAAGATTAGTGCTGTAAAACCTTCGTGCTAACATAATAACCAGTGACCTATTTGGCCCTGTGAGCATCATGCAGGACTTGCCAGTGCTGATGACTGTATCCACAGACACCTCCAACACACAACCACTGTCTCCTGGTTTTGCTGGCTGCTTCCTGGAAGGAGGCTTGACTTTATCCTCTGAGTAAAATCTGGGAGCTGGTCAAGGCGGTTTGGCTGAAGCCCACTCTGAGTCATCGTTCCCATGTTGGGTTCGCTTGACCTCACTGGAAGGGGACTGTGTTCCACTTTTTCCTTTTCCCCCCTATTTGGAACATTTTCCATTACTAGTAATCTGCAGCTAAGCTGCTTTTAAGAACTTAAATACAATCCAAAACTTTAAATTTGCATTTATACCATCTTTCTTCCCTAATGGCTTTATTTTTTTTTAAAGTGGTCACACTGGTTTTAGTGCTGTCACCGTCCTTCTATCCTTTCTGAATTGTGGAATTACACACTGAGCTAATTCAGTGGCTTTTAAATCCCAGGAGGATAATCAAACTTACCAAAATGCTGATGTTGACCAATAATAATTAGAGTGGGAATTTACAGTTGGCACACATGCCTGACTGGGATGAATTTAAGTGTAATTCTAAATCATCGTGCATCACCTATAAAAATCCACAACAACTGGGACTTATGTTTATGTCACATTATACTGCAGTGTGCAGAAAAAACATGTATCGGAAGGATACTCATAGAATGCTTTCTTGCTCTAACTGAGTACTCAAAACACTCTACAAGCATCATTCACCCATTCACACACGTATAAGCACTCTTTCTATACCTTCGTGTAAGGTTTGCTTGTACTCTGATGGATGCATCAAAGGCAACTCAGGGTTCAGTATCAACGGCCCAAGGATATTTTGAAATGCTGACTGGAGAAGCTTGGGCACAAATCACTGACATGCTGATTTGTAGACAGCCCACTCTACCTCTTGAGCAACAGTCCCCCTGACAGTAGCAAAATTTCTATTGCCCATCCCTTCAATTGTTTCTTTCTCTAAATTGCAGTAATTTACACAACCTTCTCTTAGAAAAACACCTGAAAATAAAGTGCAGTGCTATTGGAAAGAGCTACAAACAATGAAATAGAAGTGAGATCTGTGCACGCACCTTTAGCTGAAATTTTTTACCTTGTTAAACAAAAGCAGGCGGAACAGATCCATATAGCAACACAAATGTCAGGCACCTTCATCATTTTCCAGTATGTTTATAAATTCAACAGATAACTGAATAATAACCCTGCTGAAAACCTTCCATTTGCTGTTCCTGGTCGATCGGTGAATCTCTCCTTAATTTGCTAGTCGAAGTAAAGCAGCGCCATCAAATTTGTAGGAAGCGGTGATGAAAAGCCGGAGCTTTCAAACAGAAACAATAGCAAATGTTAATATTGGATCAGGTCCAGCTAATATGCTATTTCAGTTAATGATTTTCCTTTCTTCACTTGTGCCCGCATTAAAGATTGCCTGTGAAAGCCTCTGAAAGCTTTACTCTGCTGGTGGCTTCCACGCACTTCCCAGAGTGATGGATGGAGCTAGCCTCTGATCGCTCCTTTTCATATTGTTCTTGGGCCACACAGGGCCGATACCCCCTCATTAATAAACCTCAATGATTAATTTCCAAACCTCCCTCTTGTGTCCCTTCCCTTGTCGTCTGTAAAGAAAGGCGCCCTCCTAATTAGTGAACACTGATGGAGCGTCTATAATGACCAGGGACAAAGCAGTGCTGGTGCTAAAAAGAAATCCATAAATACTCACTGTGGCTGAAGTCTTTATCTGCAAATGCATGGGATCATTTTAGAATCTTTTATGCTAATAGCCATTTAGCCTTAACAATGTCCGCTGTGTTAATTGCCATAAGAAAAACATATATATGATTAGCACTTCCCTCAAAAACCTGTTTGATGAATATGTGATCAAGCTGACATTTCGCTTTGTTTAATTAATAAGATACCCATTGGCACTCACAGCCTTGAATACGTGGCAGGTATGGATGGATAGATCTATCTGTCTGTCTCTCTATGAAACGAATCTCATTTAGCAACTTTTGTCTCCTGTCAAAAAAAGGACGCTTGAGACTCTTTGCAGCTTGCGTCAAAGCGCAGTTGTTTTATTTTTATTTTTAACCAATCAGTCGCTCTGATTCTTTGAAATAAAGCAGAGGTCACGTGGGAGGAAGGTCGGACTCTTTTAATTTTCAGAAACATGAAGCATTTTTGGGGAAGAGAAGAGATAACATACCACTGAAAATTGCTGTCTTTCTGTCACTTGAAAGCACACTTATATTGAATTTTGTAATCATCTGCCATGAATAACACATGAGTGATTCTGTGTGAAAGACCAGAGCACTTTAATTATAAAATCCCGATGCACACACACTGAATCGGGGATAGATTTGAAAGTATGAAGTGACCTTAAGTTATTCATAAACATCTCAGCTCGAATAAATGCGTTCTGCCAAAACTAACAATGCTTATAGTGCAATGGTGTTACTGCTGGGGCTAATTTAGGAAAAAAGTTAAGCGAACTTTAATTTTGTTTTAAAAACCCTTTGCTTTAATAATATTTTTTATGAATCTGAAACAGCCCTCTGGTTGATGCTGTGTCACGTGTACAAAAAACAGAAAGAAAGAAATTTGGAGGAAATAGTAAAGGGAGCCATGAGAGCGCGAGCGGTGTTGCTCTAAAGAAGCATTCATATATATCTCATTACAACTGGATTTTCAGTGGCGATCATTTATATGCATAATAATTTGCAGTTCCTCATAAATAGTGTAAAACTCAAACATGGAGGTCAACAAAGGGTGAAAGCAAATGAGGCACCTTTTCTGAAGAAAAAGCACAAGTTCAAATCCCACAGCTTGTCTATTACTTAGAGACAACCCCAGGTCAAAAATAAAGGAACTTCTATTCTTCACAGATACTGTGCCTGTGCCGGGCTAATGATGGGGAAAATGCACAGTGGAGAAGGCAGTGCAAAGCTGGGCTTTGATGAATCGGGTGATTATGTTCTGAAACACTCCTTTGCTCTACAAACTGCTGTAGCACAAAGTAATCCTGTTTAGATCTCACTGACTAAAAAGACCTGCTTGCCAGCGATGTGTGAATCCCAAAAGCAGAAGCTCTCTCCTCGTCTTGCTTTGGATTATGTAAGGAGTTTTTTTTTTTAGTTTAATCACGCACTACTATGATGTTGCCATTTATGTAAAGTTAAAACGCCTTATTACTCGTTACATTGTGCTTGATATTTGCAAAGTCCCTCTGTGAATTATCAACAGCAGCATCTATATGTCTTTTTGTGCTACAAATGTAGGGCCTGGGATTAAAACTGGGTCATAAAATTTTATTTTATGACTAGAAAGATTCCTAATGTGTAACTCTCTTTAATTTCCTTGCATTTAATAACATATCTTTAGTTTTAGAGTAAATTTAGTTGGAGTTCTTGTGTTTCCAAATGTTTGTTTTGCATGGCACTAAATCATTAGCCTTTTAGCTGAAATGCTGTTATCAAGGATTCATTTGCCATATTGTGATAAGTATTGATTAGGGCCGACCCCTGTAAGTCAAAGTCTTGACGCCTCAATCGAACGCCTCGGATTCTTCATGGCGAGCTTGTCGCTTTGTCTCGACAAGTCTTCAACTAAGTGATCATATTAGCCATTCAGTCTGAACTGACCCATAGAAGAGTTCCTGAAACAACTTATACGAGTCTGACGCCAGAGATGCACTCCTTCACACGACAGTGAGAAGTCGATTAACTTCAGAATGTGACTGTAGCTCATAATAACAGCTTTGACCTATGGGAGAGTGCAGGCTTGTTTATGGATATCACAACTGATGATTGAAGAGTAAAGCTCAAATGTGGTTTGTTCTGACAGCCTGTTCTTGTTATCAGCTGACCCTTTCCCCCTAAGGAACCTGCGTGATGTAGGTCCAGTGTTGTAGCAACCTGAGCATATAAGAACATTACAAGCAGCTGAAGGCAATGTGAAGTGCACGGTGATAGCAATGATCAAGCTACTTTAATCAGCTATAAAGCATCTGGATACAATTTAGTTTCAGTGTAACAGGTGTCCAAACGTGTACGGTTTGCTGGAAGGAAAAAAAAGAAAAACTTTACCACACACCACTTATCAGTACGCACTTGGGCTGAACAGTAAAACTTACCATCGGCAAAATAAATGCTTTAGCAACCAAAAAGAAATATAACTACAAACTGTCAGCACAAACTACAGAATGTTTTACAAACAGCAAATATCGCTATAACATTAGAAACTGCCAAGTCTCGCTCAGATGAGGTGCGAGTTATTTCATAACTGCTGTAAATTTAATCTTTTTCTTTAATATGCACACACTGTTTAAAGTGAAGCTAAATGAGTTTGATTTGAACAGCCAACGGCAACACACGTGCTCCCTGGCTCATTAATCCAACAAAGCTTTACGGCAGCCTGACATTATATGTGGCCTCCTTCAATTCTACTGACAAAATCCCAATTCTGTGGGGAGGCCTATTTTTGATATAGAAAAATATCCCTTTTTCCACAGTTAAAAGGATTTCTTACATATCATTTAACCTAGCTGGATTAACCTGGTAGGATGCTCGGGGCAAATATTTGCACAGTGGTCCCTGTTGACCCCCTTTTGCGCTTCCTTTTTTTGCAGTGTTTACAGCACCCTGTTGTGCAAAATTCCACATTGCACATAGTGACAACTGCAACTGCATAATTTGCCCTGAGATTCAAAAACTAAGCAATATCCCAGCTGGAATAAACACATCCCGGCTCCATGCAGGTTTTATTGGTGTTAGTCAGTTTGTGGTAATTCTGTTAAAACTTAATTTAGCTGAGAACAATTTAAACAACAATAATAACACTCAGGAATAGCTCAGCTAATAACATAGACCTTTTAGTTGTTATTGTACTTTGTTGTAGCAAATTCTCATACAAATATGCAATCAATCAAATTACCAAACATTCACTAGCACTTTAGGGCTCGGGGGCCCCCTGGGGTCCTTGTTTTGGATTCCAAATTAAAGAAAGCTCCTTGTATGTTAGTAACTGGCTAAAAGCAAGAGAAAACACCAGCAGCTGGAATAAACATTTTTATTAACTTATAGCTTTAGAAAAAAACTCAACACAAATTCACAAACAATGATTAACATGCACAATTTTAGTATACAAGACAGTACAGTTACTTTTCAATATGAAAATGCCATTCTACATGTCAGTATCTCACAGAGATCAATGATTAATACACCAGTATTAAGGTCAGAGAACACACTATAGAAAAGCAGTAAGGTTGTCTTTGATGGCCATATTTGAAAAAGAAATATATGCAAGCTATATACACTGGACCTGGTGCACTTCTAGCAACAACCACAAAAAACCAAACTGACCGAAATGACTGAATGGATATAAATAGATACGTTGTTGCTCTGTGTTCAATACATTTCAGCCACTCCAATAATCCCTTTATTTACTTTCTTCAGATTGTACTTTGTAGTATTTTTTATAGCACAAGGTCAGAAACAATACTTTAATTTTCTTATGTGAACATGAGCAGACGTTACACATTAGGCTCAACTACGTCTATGTAAATAAAAGGCAGTTTGAGAAACTGCCACATAATTACGTACTGTAAATTAATAACCTTTTAGCCTGCAATCTGGCGATGAGGTTACCTTATTTGGATATTAATGGAAATACTAACACCACTCAGAAACACGCAAGCTGCTTTGAGGCCCGGTCACACCAGAAAACTGCACACCAAATTCATAAAACAGGCATCACAGCATACTGGACATACTGCGGAGTTAGGACCACGCTCGAGCTAGGGCTCTTAAATCCTTCTGCTTTCTGTCTACTGGGTTATTTATTCCACACTGTTATCTTGTTCCGAGAATTCACTCAGTGAAGACTTACCAAATGGTAGAAAAGGTTTGGCACTAGATTGGCTCCAGAGGGAGACATATATGATTAAAGACTTGCCTGACAATCAAAGCAGACTAGTGAAGAGCTATGAAAAAAAAAGGTCAGCACCTCAAAAGTAAAAATCATGTGATATACATGTAAAGTTTATGCAGCAAAATGCATAATATGCAAAAACACGAAATGTGCAAAGGAAAATGCCACGACTCTCACTTTCTTCTTGTACGTGAACTATAATTTCAGATACTTTGGTCCAACTCATTTTCATAGGAGAATATTTTAAATTTTACTTTAGTACATAGCTGCAAACTGTCCATCATATTTAAGTATTGGAATACAGATAGATGTATCTGTATACTGTACAGCACTTATAGATTAAACAGTATATAGAGTTTCACCTGAAATACATCTGGAAAACACCAATATTTCATGGTTAATGCTCTTTTCAACATGAAAATTAATTACTTTTCATTCCAGTCGTTGTGATATTTTTATAGTTGGCCGGCCGAACCAGGCATTGTCATCGGTTTTACTGTGGGTTCTTGGACTATTTTCTCAATTCTTACAAACCATTCCTTGCCTTGGTGGGTGCACATGCCTGCTGAATCCATTTATGCTTTAAATCAGATAAAATCACAAACGTATTTAGCCGGCTCATCCAATTTAGCTCCAACCCGGGGGAAAAAAAATAGCTAGCTAGATTGCAAACTGCCAGGTCATTAGTACTGTCATAATGGGACATTAAGGACACACAGTTTATGCAAGAGAGAGGTTTCGCACCACTGAAGCTCACAGAAACAGATCTTTTGTTGAGCAGGATACACTTAAACATACTGCAGTTAAATAAAAGTTGATAGTGCAGCAGAGTAAATTAGCCAGGCTAGCTCCCTCTATTTGGATTCTTATGCTGTAAGCAATGTCAGCGCCACCAAAAATTCACCCGTGTTTAACTCAAGGCAAGAAAAGTGACTCCACTGATCAAAGCAAGCCTGAACTGCTCTGGAACTGAAATTTCACCGTTTTAAATGCTGGTGTGACCGGGCCTTTCTGCTCTTGGAAAGAAAGATACAGTAGTACTGCTGCTGGAGCACGACAGGGTTTGTTTTGATGTGCAACTCAAAAGAATAAACCAGCTAATCAATTTCAGGTCACTGCTCCAATTCAAAGTCACAATCTACAAGTACACTACAAGCGGAGCAAATACAGTGATTTCTAGTCAAACCAAAAACACAACAACAACAGAAAATAAAAAGAATGTCTTTGAAGTCTTCCGATAGGGAGAAAAGTAGTGGAGGACATCTGAAACATCACTGACTGTAACACAACAAGTGCAATAAGAACACGGCCATCAGTCAATCAAGCAGCTGAATTGTGACAGCTGTAATAATGGGGCAGGAAAATCAATATCCCATTGACTGGTCTGCAGCAGTCTAATCAACAAGCGCGGCGCTTTATGAAACCAGTCAAGGAGCGGATAGGACAGCCTGATTATGTCGGACTTTTTTTATGAGGCCGCTGGGGTCCGCACACCTGCTCAGACATTTAAGTGAGGACATCCAGTCACCTTGCATCAATTCCTTGTGCTTTCATTCGACTTTGAGGTGGGGACTTTAGGGAGGGAGGGGGAATAAAGAGTGCAAAATGCAGACGATGACAGTCTCTAGCTAATAACCGTACGCAGCCCCGTGTTCAGCAAAGGCACAGTAATGTGTAGCAGTTGGGTTGACTGTATCCTTCCACGTGAACATTGTCAGGACCCCAGCAATCACACCTCGGCTTTTACTTGGGTGGCTTTTGACAGACTCATCCACATGATAAAAAGGCGTGAAAAGTAGCTCCCTCAGCAGAGCAGCAATGTTCCTTTGTTAATGTTCAGCTTGGTATGTGTCCAACCGACAGCGATGAGGTGGGGGTAAAATGACAGCCATGCCTTTTGCTCTATTTCCAGTGAGGGCTCTTTCACCACGGTATTCGCATCAATTATTCTGATACCTTAATAGCCCATAAATTATGCTACGGATGGAGTCATACATTTATTATACCACAGACCATAAATACTGAGACCAGAATTTCCGTCATATATCTCAATCCATTGCGGCTTTCCTAAAGCTTCCAATCCCCTTTTGTCGTAGATGCTCCGGTGTGTCAATGAAAATTTAATCAACATACCATTTCCGATAATGGGTTCTTCTACATGCCGAGGTTCCTATCCTTTCTAACTAATTTCTGCAGAAAAGAAAAGCAAACAATACCTCTGCTGCAACACGAATCTCTCTTCTAAGCTCTCTGAAGAGGAAAGAAAGAGGAAAAAAAAATTTATATACCTCTACCGAAGGCACTGTTATCCCAAAGTCCACTGTGCACCGGGCCAGCTGGTCATCTGGGGTGTAGATGGTACATGTTCTCGATACAATGAACTGATCTAGTATACAGGTCGTCTAAATGTAGAGGAGGAACAGTACACATGGGATCTGCTCGACATTGAAATACCAAACGTTTCTATTCTCTGGAATCTGGGCTTTTTTTTTCTGCTAGGCTGAAAATGTGGATAGGTATTTATTATTTAGAGGAGCATGAAACACAGCAAAATGCCACGATCTATCAGAGTACTGGGAGGGGGAACTTAGCTCAGGAGCCTATGGCTCTTGAACAGTCTTAAGTTTATTTTAGTGCACAGGTTAAGTGGGATTTGGACACAGTTGATCAGTTGGCTATTCATCTTTCACACATTTGACAAAACCTTGTAGAACTTTAAGCCTGCAATGGATGTTTTTGTTCGAAAAGGCTGCACAAATACTGGATAAGTGTGGTTTTAATGACTTGTGAGATGATCAAGTATGGATGCAATCTATCGTTATATTATATCAATTTGCTGAGACGATAACTTATTTTTTTCTTATAGGGTAAAACAAGCAGCCTCTGTTACCTACTTTGGTATGGACTATATATGTAAAGTCGGTTTTAAGGCATTAGTATCTCCAAAGATACTAAGATAAGTCATGTAGACATCAGAACTTCTAAAATGAAACCTAAAGCACGGTGGCACTTATGACACTGGAAAAAATACCAAAAGATTTCATGCACGCAAATCATCACATCTCTATCTGATGGTCCTTTAAGAAGAAGTGGCACGGTCTCTTTAAGAGTTTGGCGCAGTCCGGTCTTTTCCAGCCTTCCCCAGTCCAGCCGCTGAAACCCGGGCCTTGTGCCAGTCCAGTGGAGGGTTAACATAGGACAGGCTGACTGAAGGGATGGAGGGGGAGAGAGGGAGAGCACTCCATCGGCTGTGATTAAAGATCACCAGATGGAGCAGAGCAACGATGAGGACTGCAGAGTGACACAGCGGGCTGAGGTGACTCGCGCCCGAGCCCCGCGCTCCCATACCTGCAACCGAAAACCCACAGAGCAGCTCGTTAAGAACCAGAACTACCTCTCAACTCAAAGGAAGAAAACCCGCACTCTGCTGTGCTATCCTCTAAATTTCTGACAAGTCATCATAAATCAAAAACCGAGCGTGACACTTTCCTATATCTACATTATTAGTGCCTTTCAACAGGAGAGGCTATCTAAGTATCCCGAGAAGATAAAATTGGTATCATATCAAAAGAGGAGAGCGCCAAATCGAGCTGCCTCACAATTTTGCACAGCAGCGGGATGGGAGCACAGAACTGCTTTATATGCTGCTGCGCTGAGCAGCCAGTCAACAAGGAATAATAACCCAATGGCAGAGATGGATGACACCGTGCACGCATTTCTAAAAAGGTCGCTTTTCTCGCACTGTCTATTACACCTGGTTGGAAAAGGATGCAATGAAGAAAAATTAAATGCTCTCTCTAAATTATGAATTCACCCGTAAGATTTATCAGTGGTTAAAAAAAGGAAAAAACAAGAAACTCACTTAATTTATGGATGTGGATAGGCTCACTTCCCACACCTTCGCCGCCCTCGCTCACGGCTTTGATCTGAATGAGATAGTTGTCGTTGGCTGAGAGGCTGAGCTCAGCAGTGGTTCGGTTGGTCAACACAGTAAGGATGTCATTGTAGCGATGTCTCTTCAGCATCACCTGAGGCAAGGGGGAGTGACTCCGGAAAATGAGCTAATGCAAACACCAACATTATTGTTTCTGGAGATAAATCACAGCTTTGCAAAATAGTGGGACTTACCAAATACCCAGTGACCTTTGACTCTGTCTCCAAGGCTACTACAGGGTTCCAGTGCAGCGTAAGTGTGGAGCCAATCATGTTCCATTGTATGTTGAGCGGAGGCCGATCTGGAGCTACAAAAGAAATCAGAAGTAAGTATACAGAGGATATGCTGGTTGCCTTTTTTTTAAAAGCATCTTTCTGGAGAAACATTCAAATTCTTGGTTTTTGTTGAATTTCCAACAAAGTCAATAAACTGCACTGTAGACAACACTTAGTGATAATATGAGAAAACTGTTGGTGTCCCAAAACTAATGCTAGTGGAAGGCCAGACTGTACCTATCTCAGAGGCAGTGAGTCATTTAGCTGGAGTCAGGTTAGCCCTAACAAAGGAGAAAATGTTGTTGGAAACTCCTACTGGCAAGCTCTACCTCATCCTGACTGTTCATCCCGTTTTATTTTATCTTTTTTTTTTTTTTTTTTCTCAGACACTCTGGGGATTCCTCACATGAGACACAAGGACCGTGTCACAAACTTAACAGAGATTTCGCTGGGTTTAAGTTTAATGCCATTATTTCAAATATTTCTTGGTGCTCGACAGCTTAGCTAGCTGGCTAATAACCCGAGCCATGCAGTAGCAGGACCCTGAGAGAAGTGAGCGTTGTCATAATGTGATATGGCACAGTCGTATCAGGGGCCCAAAGATAAAGTAAAAAGAATATTGGACACACTGCACTTCTTTTACTGACATAAATGTTCCTTATATATTACATTTATCTTTATATTTGAACTGACTTTTCAATTGACTATGAATCGCTGACTCGGGATCCAAGTTTGAATACCACGAGTTAGTTTCATATCCATGGTAGTGGCTAACAATCCTCTCAACTTGCTTGAGGGTAAAAAGAATAAAACAAAATTGCCCAACCCATCAGAAAGTGATTCTTAAAGGAAATCTGCTTGATTTTTCAAATTTGATGTCCTAATGCAAACTGGAAAACTACTCTTTTGTATACTGCTCATCTGATGAGGAGAATACAATTTTCTTTTCTGTTATTTTTTTCCCCATGTTATCGATATTTGTGTAGTGAATAGATTTTTTCCTGCTCTTTCCATTCTGAGATTTCCAAAATACTTTCACATATTTTTATATATTGTTATAATGCCAGTTCATCTCAGAGGAGCTTATTTATAATAGAAGAGAACCCCAAAGATCAGACAAAGATCTCCTATAAGCAAGCTCTTGGCGAGAGTGGGGACTCCCTACTGTCCACAAGAAGAGACCACCAGCAGAGCCAAGCTCAGAGGGGGACAGCTTTTGGCTATGACCAGTTTCAGAGGTGTAAGGAAAAAACATAAGATCATACAAAGATAGGAAAAAATAAGCACAAATGTGGTCTAAACCTGCAGGGGCTGTTTAAACAGATTTGCCAAACTAAAGATGACTTCCTGGATTTGTTGCAGGCGTGACGCAGTTAGGGCTACTTCTTTTTGGAAAAAGGAACAGTCTGAGCACTAACAGTAAAGCTGAACAAATGCAACACCCAGCATGGTGAGGACAGTCCAATGCCAAACTGAAGGTTACCATGTAAAGATACTTTCAATGTGCGTCTGGGGATGGACTCACGTGGTTTCTTTGTGGTGCTGTTGATGGGCACGGACTGTGGCCCAGGGCCAGCCGTATTGAAAGCAGCCACAGACAGGTAGTACGCCGTATTTGCTTTCAGCCCTGTGATATTAACCAGCGTGTAGTTTCCAGATAAGCGCACTTTGCCAATAGTGTCAGGCTTGGTGTCATCTTCCCAGTACATGAGCTGGTAGGAGAAGAAGGGTAAAAAAAAAAGTCAGGCTCCCAGGTGCAAAGATTCAAGTGGTGCATTTCATTGCATTATTAAAATTCATAATCCATCGTGAAATCTGAAATGCTGTTTGTATTACAGAAAGGGAGGGGGAGGAGGTGGTGAATAATACATTTTTCACTAGTTGAGTCTCAGCCGCCCTACTTATATACAGAGGGCACTAGAGAGCCATATAATCACTGACCCAGGATCAAAAATTCTGCCTTAAGTCTTTCTAAGTCTAAGGAAAGTGGATCTTAAAGAAAAGAGGTTATGGATAAATCTTGAGAATATTGTTTTTAAAAGAATACTTTAGTTTAGCAAAGCATCAGGTCTGTAAAACTAGATGCAGAGCTAACTTTCCCTCAGGCTTTTAGCCAACACTTAGAGGTGCAGGTGACGCGATATTTGATAAAGCAAACTTGCCGCTTGCTGTGGGTCATCTTTAATATTCATGTATCTCGAATTCAGTGACAAGACTTGAGTCAATAAGTGATTAAACTGAAATGTGAAGCCTGTCCTACGGGATACCCCTGTTTTTCAATTGCCCATAAATTGTTGTATTTCCAATTTGTTGACAATTAAAGTCATGTTTAATTAAGATCAGAAATCAAATCTTTTCAGCAGGATTATTAAATCTGAATGTCGACTGAATTTACAAGCCCAACAACATCTCCTTAAAAGCTGAGTGCCTCACACGTGTAGTCCTTGCTTTCCATACTGTTGGTGGCCTATTGAGATTCAGCAGCCCAAATCCACTTCAGAACCACATTTGGAGAATTGAGCTCTGTTCTGAAAGCACAATGTGGCCAGCACTATGGCAACTGCAGAGCTTTGTGCAAGGGGCCAGAGGTGACAGATACTGAAAGAGCACAGGAGGAGGGAGACTAAAAACAGCAAAGCCTTCTTTGCATTCTTGAAGCGATGAGGGATTTTTATTTTCCTCTCATGGGTTCAGTGTTGGGGTGCCAAAGTATTGCGATCACTTTGTGATGGTAACGCATTAAACAAAATCTCTTCTGAGATATATGCAAAGATACCGGAGAATATCATAAGCTAAAGAGAGAGACTCATTTAAAAAAACAAAACAAACAATGGATAAGACGGATAAACAAGGCACCGGGAAAGACCCACTTATCATGTTATTTGAAAGGGAAATAAAAAAAGAGAGAAAAGAATATGATTTTGTAGCAGTTCGTACCTCATATCCAAGCACTCTTTCAGGGATGGTGGGAAGAGCTTCCCAGCTCACTTCAATTTGTGCTGCAGACACACTTCTAGCCCTAACCCTCTTAGGAGCCACACTGGGGACTGCAGAAATAGAGCAGAAATGTGGTAAGAATCCCACAGACTCATCCAACACCATCACACACACTAATAGCAATAAGAGGTAAGGCACAAAATAGACCTGTAGTTTCACTGAAAAGCTATTTCCCCCGCTCTCTTTTAATGGGATCTGTGACTGACATAAGGGAAGACTATCTGCCCGGCAAATTCAATTAACAGGATACCTCCCTGACAGTGCGGTGTGGTAAGAGTCTGCTAGGATTTCCTGTAATCTACCAGCACGATAACTAATATCAGGTTGACATTCCCAGCTTGAGAGTGGAAGGAAATAACAGCACTGGAAAAAAAGCAGCTCATTTCATGATTACTATTCAAGGTCATGGTTATAAGGAGGGAGATTATAGCTTATTTAAGCGTCACTCTCTGCCGCCAGGCTGAGAAGTCTGTACCCTACCTTCCTCTGCCGAGTACACGACGGCGATCGAGCTGAAGGGCCCCTCGCCTCGGTTGTTGTATGCCCCCACTTTGACGTCAAAAGGCGAGAAGGGTGGGATGGTGTCATTTCGGAAGACGTAACGCGCCGCGGGTGTGGAGATAACCGCTCGCGTCCACGTGACCGTGCCCACAGGCCTGAAGGCGATGATGTAGCCGAAGCCCTCTCCGTTCTGCAGTTCCTCGGGCACAGGCTGGGAGCAAAACACAAAACTATAGTGATATTAAAACGCATACAGACAAAAAAACAGACAGGCCCGTCTCTGCACTGTGCCTCGACTAAGGGATATCGTGAACAGACACAGCCCCTTTCTCAGCTGCCACCACCTAGAAGCCTCCACAAATGCCTTTTACCTTATCTTTTCTTTTCATATGTGATTGTGGCTAAAGAGCACAGTTCTTTCTAAAGAAAGTGTCCCCATCCCTGCTTTTGGAGGAATAAATGGCACTTGGGGGCTGAGCCAGATGAATGGTGTCTCCTTCTAATGGGGGTCATAAAATTGCTCCTTTCAATTCTGCACAATTAAGCAAAACCATTACCCGGCAATGGAGAGAACAGTAAAATGTGACAGATGACTTACCTCCCATGTTATCACTAATTCAGACTTTGTGCCGCCTCCACCTCCAACATCAGTGGGAGCTGTATCAGGAACTGAGAGGTAAAGCCCAAAGGGGAGCAATTAGAACACAGTTTACAAAGCTCAACGACAAGCCTCGACTTGTAACCTTATGACGAGTATGCCAGCTGCAGATACTTCGCCTTCCATTTTACACCCCACAAATCCCCCACTTTGTGCAAACACAAGCATTGCAGAGAATAGTGACTTACAGACTTTGCCCAAATGTCAGCGTGCATACACCACAAGCCAAGATTTGTAATATTTTGCAAATGACATTTGACTCAACCCACTCCTTTTCAATTCCCACTAGGCTGTTTGTGCACTGCAGCGTGCTGGAAAAAACGACAGTGTAGGTGGAGGAGCACTCAAGCACGTCCTCATAGTATCCTTTCGTAAGTGGAGCCCTGATTTAGTAAGCAGCGTTTGTGTTTGAAGCCCAGGAGTGGTTGAATGCTTGGAATTGAGATTCCTTTTTTTTTCCTACCCAGACTTGATATCCTTCTTTTTTTTGCCATACCTACAACTTTAACTACAATAAAACAATCATTATATATAAACAAAGTTATATGAAAAATATAACTGAAAAATATAAAATGTTATGATTTAGAAAATATTTGAGAGTTTCTGTAACACTTTAAGGCTTTGCATGCTGCTCTACTGAAGCAGAAGATGCATGTTTTAAGCTACGTACGCCAGGTCTGCAAAGGGGCTAAAAAAGGGGCTATTTTCAAGAGACGAGGCAACATAGGATAGAGTAAAATGACAGGCTCATCAAAGAAGCCTTAAAATTGTTAAAGCGTACCCGTTATGCTTATTTGATGCTCTATATTCTTTGACTCTACTAGAGTAGCTTTCCATGGTTCCCAGTTCAGACTAGTCCTCCGTTCTTGGTGCCTCAGTTCATCCTCTGTCTGAAATAAGCTGATTTAGTTCCTTCTACAAAGTGAACTTCTAAAGCGAGTGATTTAGCCTATAAATGCTTCATTTTTAGTAATGTGACAGAGCAAGAGTGTGAAGGATCCGTTTCCAGTTGACACAAAATCTAAGGTCCATAGCCAGATAGTTCTTCTCTATTCTGACCAGGGGCAAACACACAGGACAAGGTCAGACTTTACTCCAATCAGTAGCAGAAATGCAAAATAATATTTAGAAAAAGTTTAAACCTCACAGTTTACCCCATAATAACAAAGTGATAATGTGCTTGAAATTCTTGCAATTTTAAAAAAAATAAAAGCCCAAACTATAACATGTACATAAGTATTCACAGCCTTTAACACATAAAACTGAGCTCAAGAATTGTCTGCAGACCTCCAAGACAGGACTGCACTGAGGCACAGAAACAGTTCTGCAGCACTTTAGGTCCCAATGAGCACAGTGGTCTCCATCATCTGTAAACAGAAAAAGTTTTGAACTAACAGGAGTCTTCCCTGAGTTATCACGGAGAATGGCCTCAGTCAGGGAGGTGACCAAGAACCCAGTAGTCATTCTGATAGAGTTCCAGCGTTGTACTGTGGAGAGAAGAGAAGCTTCCAGAAGGCCACCTATTTCTGCAGCATTCCACCGATCAGGCCTGTATGGTAGAGTTGCCAGATAGAAGCAACTCCTCGGTAAAGGGCACATCACAGCCTGCCTGGAGTTTGCCAAAGAGCACCTGAAGGACAAAATCCTCTGGTCTGATGAAATGAAGATTGAACTGCTGGTCTGAATGTCAAGCCTCCATGTCTGGGGAAACCAGGGACTGCTCATCACCAGGCCAATGCCAACCCTACAGTGAAGCATGGTGGTGGCAGCATTACTGTGGTCATGTTTTTTATTATGGGGTATTTTGTGTGAATTTAACCAGTGTTGGAATAAGGCGATAACATAACAAAATGTGGAACCACTATAAATACTTGTAAATCGCAAACCTTATGTTCATTTTTACTTGTGTATCTCTCTAAATTTCAAAACATTTCAAATGGAAACACCATGGAGTTTCTTGGTTTTTCAGAAGAATAAGCTACTTCATTATTTACACCCTGCTAGTACTGGTTTGGAACCCTTTCTGCCTTCAGAACTGCCTTAATTCATTTCTCAGAGATTTTGGTTCATGTTGACATGGTAGCATCACATAGTTGCTCCGGATTTGCTGGCAGCACATTCATGAATGTGAATCTCCTGTTTCACCACATCTCAAAGTATTGGATTGAGATCTGATGACATTTGAGTACTGTGAACTTCCTGTCATGTTCAAGAAATCAGTTTGAGGTAAACAAGGACATGGTCAACAACAAAACTGATGCTGAAACGATGGTCAGTTGTTACTAATGAGATCAGGATCTGCCAGAACAACTGTCCCACACCCTATTTTACCAACATCGCCTACACCATTGATGCAAGGAGGGCTGGCTGTTTTTTACACCAAACTGACCATACCACTGGAATGCTACAACTGAAACTCGGACTCCTCAGACCAGGTAATGCGTTTCCAAACTCCTGTCCAGTTTGGTGGGCTGACAAATTTACAGACGAGCGAATACTATTGGTAATATTACCTATTTGCTTATCTGTTGGTATCATCATTCGCAATAAATTCCCACAAATGAAAATGTAAAAAGTAAAGAAGAGGGGGGTTGAAACACAGTTCATTCTTACTACATACTTTGTCCACTAGAGGGCATTTTGCAACATCCCTGTTGGCAACACTGCTTTGAAGTGCCACAAAAACATTAACCAGCTGATCCGAGCACTGCAGGGTAATGAGTAAATAAATGACTAACCATAACCAATTAGAGCAGGGCGATATGACCAAAAATATTTATCACGATATACATTTGAAAATTTGTGATAATGATATAACTGACGATATAATTGACACTAGACAAAATACTTTACAACTCCACAACTTTATTAGTGCAAAAAACCATCAATGTATTTTCACTTAAACAAGCATCTGTTTTTTATGTGCATTAAAGTTATATAAAAATGTAACAGTGCAAATGCAAATTCCTTGCTGACAGTTTAACCAAAGGTGTTTAAGTGTGCCGTATTTTCCAAAAAACACGGTAATAACAACGGCCCGCTAGCATGCTCTACCAAAAATAGTGCTTTGTTGTGTATCTGACGGACGAAAGCTAAACCAGTTCCACACCACTGAAGTTGCAGCATTTTTACAAACCAATTCTGGTTCATCCGTTTCATTCAACGATCCGCTTTCACCCTTCTCATTCTCCGTCACCGACATGCTTTTTCCGCCATGTCTGTATGAAAACAAAGGCACTGCGCATATTCTATCGCGATATTTCATTTTCTTATCGTTGCCCAACCTTAACGGTATGATATGACCCAGCCCTATAACCAATGCTGGTGAAATCTGTTATATATCGAATATATTGGAATATCAGATTTTTTAAATGACCAAATATCGGTATTGATATCCTAAAAAAACAACAACAACCCTATATTGGTTGGGATCTACTACAGATGGATGTGTGGGGAAACCCAGCAGATCAGCAGTTTCACCTTTCTTCTCCATCCTGATACTTGGGTTAATCTTCAGCAGGTAATCTTTACCATATCTAAAATGCTATAATGCACTGAGTTGCTACTATGTGATTGGGTGATTTGAAGTTTAATTATCAAGCAATTTATCGTTTCTACCTAATGAAGTATGTGGTATTCATTCCTGTGAAATCATCTGTAGCATAGCAGTCACTTTCTTGGACATATTAACTTTAGCTCACTATCACACCATTGCAAGTGTTTTTGTAAAAAAAAAAAAAAGCACTCCGCCGTCAAGCAAACTGGCAATAACATCAAAAACCGCCAACACAAATAAAATAAGCGTCACTTTTGGAATTGATTTTCCACAGTTCTGTGGTTGTGCTATAATCTCAACTCATTTTTTGCCAAGGAAGACACAGAGTCCCAGAAAGTGAACATTTTAAAGTAAAGCTGATCCATCGGTGCTTATATCTGTTAATGTGTGTAGGTTTAATTTTTTTGATGTACATACTTGCATCCTCCGTCCTGGTCTTGGCTGAGGCTGGGCTAGGCTCGCCAAGCCCTACAGCATTGCGTGCCACCACCCTGAACTCGTGCTCCACCCACGCATTCAGACCCACCACCGTGGCTGTCAGCATGTTACCATTGACCACCTCTGGCACTGCAAAGTGGAAATTCAGTTCTTTAATAGAAAAATAATTGAACGCTAAACAACTGGACTCCAACTGAATGATGAGCAAATAAATATCCAGGCAAAATAAATACTACAGAAGCCTCTTTTCAGCGTACCTGTGTCTACAGCCTGCCAGCCCACGGTAAAAGGAGTTCGAGCCTGGATGATGTAGCCGGTGATGGGGCTGCCGTTATCCCTTCCGGGAGTCCAGGATAACTGTGCTGTACTGTCTGTGATTTCCTCCACTGATACCTTGTCCGGAGGACCTGGGGGACCTGCATCAATCAGACAGTGACGAGGGTGAACCCAAGGTGAGCACCCATTTAAAAAAGCCTCCTCTCATCAAGCTCATAAAGACTTGTACACATTGTTACATATCAAGGCCATCACACTCGCTTTAATTAAGGGCTGCGCCCTTGGTGTGTACACGCTTTATGTGTGTGTGTGTGTGTGCGAGTGTGGGATTCTTAAGTGATGAGTTCACCGGCTGTGGAAAGATAAAGTGAATGGGATCGTTTATTAGAAAAGGAAATAGGTGCTTCATGAGGAGGAGACATCAGTAAGTAGAAAAAGGAAAGAATAGAAAAGCGAGTGTTTGCAACTACAACATGCTCAGTCTTTACCATGTTATAGCCGTTTGCTTTGCTGCTCCATTATTCAAATGCTTTCCATGATATTTTGCCGGTGTGTAAATGAGCCAATTACAGTCATTTTCTGTGATAAACATTGCCTTCTCAAAGCACCTGGGACAGCTATTAGAGTTTGTTTAGGGCAGGAATACCAATGTAAATCACCAGAGATACGCTTGTACACGGAGCCAGATACACCAGGCACATATCAACAAAGCTACTTCAGCTACCTCAGAGCGAGCGTGTACACCATTACTGCATTTCAGTAACAAGTACAGTATATATTGTAAAGTGGAGCTGACGTTACAGACTGAGACAGACATTTTTGCTTCCCCATCGTGTATCTTTAGCGAGAGCCTCGGGGATGTTTCGCACCCTTCTGTCAAACTTTTTTTGCTTTGAATACTTTTACACACGCTCTGCGGTAGCCGTGCTACGGCGCTCACACAAAACCAACCGAAATCTGGCCCTTCTCTTACCTTTGACGACCAAAATGGCAGAGGTGGACAGGCTTTCCACATCAGTGTCAATAACACAGACATATTTCCCACCGTGGTTCAGCTGGATGTTACGAATCATCAGATCCCCTGATATGCTCTGAAAGAGAGAAATAAGGTTAAGTAAGAGATGTAGCGTTAATTAATCTTTCAGCCTGTGGCTCTGGGATGCTTTTACATTTCATAACATCCAATACAATCACAGCGACTCCGGGCCGCTGATTTTTGCATCTTTCAAACACAAACAACTGACATGGCAGATGTACTCAGAGCAAATAACCCTATTGGCCGTCCTTCAGGCACTATCTAACCAACCGGCCTCCAAACCCCCTGTAAACAACTACCCGCTACACACAGGACACACAAAACAAACACAGTCGAGCTAATTGGCAAAGCAATCCTAATTATTCTCTAATTACACAAGCTCAAGCAAGATATGAGTCTAACTCCCAGTGTAAAGAGTAAATATTATTTTACATGGGCTGCATGCATGTGATGGCCGTGAGGAACATGCAGCGAAACACAGCAGCAGATGTTAATTTTCTTATCTGTGGCTACATAAAGCAGAATTACCTTAAAAATGAGGTTGTAATTCTGCATTTTTCTTTGTTTTCAAAAAGAATGAAAATCATTCTTTATTCCTAACATCTTCTAGTGCTTTCGACTACAAAGACACCTCTCCTAAAAACAGCTAGCAAGTACGGTGCATAGCTCATTTCTCTGTACTGACAGAATATGTTAGTGATCAGAATGGTTTTTTTTCCAGCATCCGTGAAAGTATTTGTTCATTTTAAAATTCATGTGGGAAAACGCGGCACAAAATTACTCATCAGTCGTACGCGGCGAATCTAAACTGTGCAGCTGATTTAGCTCTTCATAGCTCGCTTAAATATTCTTTCAGTGTATTCCAATTAGCCGAGCATTCATCACATGGCAATGAAACAACCTAACCTAAAAGCTATCATGCTACACTTCAGCATGTCTGCGTCATTCAATCATCTTGTAAAGAGAGATTATTAGAGCCCTCTTGCACAGCGTGACACGCACTTGCTACTGTACGGCATCAGATGGGTCTTTGGGGGGGATCAACTGATTGATTGTTTGGGGGTTTTCTGATGGGTGCTCAAAGGCAATAAGAAAAGTATGGAAAGTCAGCAGACTTAATACGCTTTATCCAGGCAACATTACTGTGCTCTCATTTGGACTGCTGATGGGAGTCGGGCCTTTTGAAAGTCACCTCTTGAAGTGGCCTGTCACAAAGCATGTCAGCCAGAGAAAAAGAGTGTGCTGCTTTAGAAACTAGTCACCTGGGGGAGAGCCAGGTAAGACTCACTGCAGTCACAGTAGATCTCATCACCTCCAAAGGCTAGTGATCATAGTTCCACTGTGCCGCGACTGGGCATGAACACCCATGGATCTTCACCTCTCTAAGGCAACTGACAAAGCAGAGCTGAGCCGAATGGCACTTCTATGCGCCCAAGGGATAAAGTGACTATCTTTCTTGCTCTTTTTTTCTCTTTTACCCTTCCTTTCATCTTCTCTCCTCTTCCCTGACAGTTTTGAAGCGCCATGCCTGATTCTCCTTCCAATGTCAGCCGCCACCTGGCCGACCCGAGAGCTTGCGATGCGTCGCGGGCTTCCTGCCTTGGCAGGAAGGAAGTGATGAGGCAGATTTGCTTTAATTATGTTAATTAATTCATCAGAAGCTGTTGAGCAGGGGGTTGGTAATCTCTCTGGACAGGGGAAACAGACTCTGTGAAAACTATCTCTCATTAAATGCCTATGCACAGTTCAATGTCATTAGTAATTGCCATTTGCTTTCATGAAGAAACGAGTGCGCCGTGTCCACAAAACCGTGAGCGTATTGAGATACGATGTCAACTATTACCACATGAATGGCAGTGATCAGACTCTAAAACCTCGGATGATAAGCGGCGGTATGTGAAGCAAAAAGAGTGTGCATAGCAATTTGAAACTGACAAGCTTTGAACAATTAACTTTGCCCTTCATCAAAAGGAACAAATATTCAACAAAAAAATAATAAAAAGGCGTCACTTATCAATATTTCAAGGCATATGGATTTCAAATGAACATTTACTGGTGCCAGGCCTGCCCTTGGTGAATGCCAGCCAGCTCATTACTTAATTATTTCGGGACTCTAGATTCATAAATAGGTATGCAAATTCAATTACAGCGCAGGGAGATGATAAGAAAATGTTCTCCCTTGAGGTACAGGAATTAGAAGTTGAAGGGATGAAAAGTATAAAGACTTTATTAACGAGGGCCCTCTGTAAGACTAAAATGGCATTTCACTGATATATTTTTAGAGGTGTAACACATGGCAGCTCACACAGGCAATTCAAAAGGTAAGGATCCCAATTACAGAGCTGATACCGCCATTCAGATACTGCGGTATCTGTAACTGATATCGCTACCTTTTTGAAATTCTGTCCACAACTGACCACAGAGAAACCTTCAAATCTTCGCCTAAATCTCTTCGTTTGAGTATTATTAGGGTTTATGAAGCCCTCAGCCGGGCTGTGGAGCATACCCTTGCGCGTTACACACTGTGTCCCAATTAATCCCAGAGTAGCCAGAAAGTATCTGAGTTTAATGCTCGACATGACTCACCCCACCCACTCTTTCAAAATGATCGCTGTCTCGCTGGAAGTCGATGAGCTGGCCGTTGAATGCCCACGAGAAAGAGACATCCAGAGCTGGATCGGAGGCAATCTGGCAGGGTAACACGATGCTCTCGCCAACAATAATCTCCATGTTAGTAGGCCTCATGGTGATTCTGGTGGGCTCTGGCCAGACAACAGATGACAGCACAAGCATGATAATATCTCTGCCACTGAAACCTCTAACACCACCATGACCCCTGCAACTGCCATTTCACTCCAATTCGCAGCTAAACCGAGCAACAGTCATTAAATTACCCATGAATGTGGCTTTTTTTCTGATTTTAATAAGCACTTAAATTCCAAGCTTGTCCATTAGTAACATTTAATGACTTTGCGGGTTCACATTTTATCTCCCTAGATCAATTTGGACGAAAAAAAAAAAAGTTGTTTGAAACAGGATTACTGAGATGGGAGCACATTCTTACTGGTGACTGTGGTGGATTGGGGGCCTCAGAATATGTTGACAAAAGGTCAGAGTAATTAAATTTCATGACATTAAATGGTTCAGCTGTCAGCGTATGAGAAGAATAGAAAGTAATGAGAAAAAAAAGTTGCACACACACAACAGATTAAAAATAGGGGACTACATGAACGTTTTATGTCATTGCACTCATAAATAATGACCTTTAACTAAATCAATGATAAGCATTTGTTGCTTACTTAACTGTTATTTTAGCTGCTATTTACCAGGCCCATTAATTTTACAATATCCTTGCTTGATAACACACGCAATAAGCTGAAAGAAACAAATACATAAAAATAAGGACAAGAAAGAGCTGACTTTTATTTTGGAAATACTTCAAGGAAACTTATTTGCTAATAAGAAAATTTCCCTTTAAAGTCTTATCAACTATACGGTATTTGAAGTTACTTTAACATAAACAATCAAATCAAATTTAGCATATAAGAGCAGAAAACTCGCCATAGTACAGGATAACATCAGCCCTGGATTCTGCCCTGCCTGGTTTTGTTGTGGTCTTACCAAACTCACTGATTCACCATTCAGTCCTTCTCTGAATAGAAATCTTGACAATGCCTGCTGCCTTAAAAATATCAATGAGTGCATATTTCATAGAATTTCAGTTAGAAGAGCTGAAAGACGAGACTGATCGTCACAACTTCTGCCAGCAGTTACAGGATTTTTTGGCTCAGCACTTCATGGCATGTGTTTGAGTACACGTGTGTGGCAAGATCATGACCCATCAAAATCCAACAGTTAAAGTTTTTAGCCATGTTCTCGGTCCAAACAAGTGTCCAGATGGTTGCTGTAACTCAATCTTTCCTAGCACAATGCTCCATTGCAGCATTGTTGTGGCTGGTAAAGGACAACTGTATTTGTCATCTAATTTTGGATGTTTGCAGCGATTTAAACATGGCCACCAGCACGCTCAATAACCACCATAATCATATTCAGCACTTGTTAAAGTGAAACAACATGAGCTTTATTATTAGTGTACACACATATGACTGATAATAACCTCTTATCTTATTTAACTCTCACCAAGAAAGCTTGTATTTCCTAAGGTTTCAGAGTTTGTCTTGTTCCTTTATTCCATTTAAAAACCGAGAGTTAATTTTCCGAGTTAAAATCTTCAACAGGAATGAATGAAATGCTGTTTTTTTATGGGGTTTTTTTGGTTTCTTTTCTTCTCTTTGAAATCAAGAACCCATTGTTTGTAAAAATTAGCACAAGCCTTGAGAGGCAAATCAAAGTTCTTGAATGGGAAGCGTGTCAGGTGTGATGACAAAGAAGGGATGGAGCAGACAGTGAAAAGGTTAATTAACTGAGAGCGATTCGACTTTTAGGCCAGACTTACCAGTGACAATCAGTCTTCCTGTTGTGCTTGCCGTCCCAAACTGATTCTTAGCGATACACGTGTAGCTAGCTGCATCCCGTTTGGTTACATTGGCAATCTTTAATGTTCCATCTGGAAGCAAAGCAATCCTGAGAAGAGAGCGGCTTTTTACTGTATTTGGTAAGATAGCGATTGTAAAGTAGGACTACAGTGTTCAGCTCTGTTTTGGATTTGTATATAGTAATGACGTTTCCATCTATCGCCATGTATATAATAAAATTCTCAAAGATTTGTCAAATAACTCAGATTTAAAGACTTTAAATCGATGAGGTCAGTGTGAAACCCCTATCATGCTGAAAGGTCACCGACTGGCTAGATATTAAAAAAATAACATGCAAAGCCCCCCACTTTAAACAGTTTTATTATATTATTTCCACTAGCTGGGTCATTAGAAATCTGTAGTTATTTAGAAGATGTCTATCTCCAAACATGTATAAATCAAGGCATGAGCTAAACATAAGCTTATATAGAAATCAGATGGTTGTAACAATTTTTCAACTGATGTGGTATTCAGTGAGAAAATGTGTGCAAAATTCATTTTCTAAACACTGCTCCAATTTACAGCGTGACTGCATATGTGAGTAAACATTTCCCTTCCAGTGTCTGCATACATCCAGCCTTGAAAGAGTACGTGGGCTTCACATATGCTAAATGTCAGTCAGCTTGGGAATTCTACCAATTTTCCGCCGCTATAGATGCAGCTTCCCATCTGGAGCCGACTAAAGAGGCTCTGTGCTGTTTTGACAAGACGCCTTGCTCGTATTGTTCTTTTTCAGACCTCCTCTTCAATAGGCAGCATGGGAGCGATTCAAACGGCATTTCTTTCCTGTACTGGGATGCCTGCGTTTGACTTTGTATTGAGTTTGTATTCAGTCTGTCTGTTGTGTGTGAGCGTGTGTTCCAAAGTCTTGATGTACGTACGATAACTTACAGGAGGTTTTAGAAACTATCTGAGCTTTTTGATTCTTTTGCCTATCGAGATGACAAAAAGCCTGAAACGTGACATGCTTTTGGAATTCTCTACCTTTAAATGCTTCTTTATTGTGAAACGTTCCGGTTTATCCAATAAAAAATCCAACAGAGAAGGGCACCAAACTAAATGAAGCACCACTTTATACCCCCTGAAAGCGACGCTTGATGTTGGCTCATTGTCTTTGTGCCTGTGTTCTGAGTTATTTTTTGTCTATTGAGACTGCTCTCCGATCTCCATCAAAGCTTTCGTCTCTGCTGTTTGGTGATTGCATCAATCAAGCCCTTGTAACTCTTTGTCTGTCATGATAAAACAGATAATTACAGGTGCAGTAGCTTCATTCTTACTTTAGAGTTCCTTCCTCAGTTTACAAGATGAGCGGGAACTCCATTTACTACTCTTTTATCTTCTTAAATATTTAACACAGTGTTGATATGACCACCTAGCATCTTCAGTCTTCACACCGAGCTATTTGCACACAAGGGGGCACGCAGTATATTAGCTATCTGCAATTTTCCTGGTGGGCGCCCTCTCGTTCTTCTCATTAGCCTTTCCTTCTATGCATCTCTGCAAATGCCAAACGCTCTATTGAAACAAGTCAGCTTGCAGTGAATGCGAATGAAAGCTGCCAGTAATATACACTTGGATTTTTATCCTACCTTTCAGTTCTCTGCAGGATTTCATTCCCTTTCTTCCACAAGCTAATTGCTGGGGGTGAGGCCTGAGGCTTGCATTCAAGAGTGACTTCGCTGCCTGAGCGAGCTTTTAGCAAGGCCCTTAGCGGACTTTTGGAGAAAGTAGGAGGTGAAGCTGCATGTAGGGGAACAGAGAAAGGTGTGAGATTAAAAAATATATATATGGGCAACCTGAACCTTTGCAGATCAACCGTGCTGTACTGAGATAAACTCTCCTTCAGCTTTCAGAGAAAGCAGCCTGAAATCTCAGCACAAAAGCCTACTGGTCTCAAAGCTCGCCATAGTCATCCCACCCTTCAGCTGCACATCCTTGAATACACCATTCACCTCAAGCATGTCATAAACTATTGTCTGCACTCATCAGTTTTTTGTTAGCCATTGTTAGGACACTCAAGTGTCATCACATGTATCAAGAGAGTTGAATTTCTTATTGAGCCAGTCAGATGGAAGTCATCAAAGCTTTGCAAATAAATCAATACCCTGTCTACATGAGAAGGCATGCACAATGCCACAAAACAATGCATTTGTAGTATCCAAATCAATACGTGAAATGACTGAAAGTAAAACGAGACACTCTATCAGATTCACATTTTTGCTGGCAAAGCCCATGGTGACATCAAATGCGTGCACAGACTGATTGCAGAGGTACGTTATAGCAGGCTGCTGGTTTTTATCTTAGGAGATGATCAAACGCATAGACAGATAAGCAGGATAAAAGCAGGAGGAGGGAGGCGATCTTACCTAACACCATTAGCTGGGCACTGGAATAAATAATTCCATATTTGTTTTCAGCCACACACTGGTACATCCCAGAATCGGAACGGTTTAACGAAGATATAGAAAGGGCCCCGTTTTCAATCTGTCCACGGCCCTGTGGAGGAAAGAGAAAGAGTCCTGCATATCCATCGCAAGGCCAGCCTATTATATCCAAAGGCAGAACAGCAATTACTGCAACTCTGCATTTTATTAATCCTTTATTTATCCAGGTAAAAAATCTCATTGAGATTAAAAATCTCATTTCCAAGAGAGACCTGGCACCTGCATATGGTAAGCTTGACATAGATGAGGAAGTGCAGTGGTGAAAACTATTTATCTGCTTCTTAAACACACCGAACAGAAAAATTGTTAACATAACTTATATTTCATGACCTTTCAGGATGATCATGATGATGATGACAGATCACATCATTTTTAACAGATAAAGTTGTCTCGGTGCTGCGTGGGGAGGGGATCGATGCTTTCTAAAGCATAGTCTGGCTTTAGAATAGCTAACGTCTGCATTAGCATACATTAGCTAACGTACCCATTAGCATACATTACTTATATACACACAGCATATTAACATTATTGCATTTACAATTTCTGGTACAGACCAGCTCAATTATTTGTTGTTACTTAGAAACTATTTAGAAACTAAGAAATTTTAGCCAGAAAGGAAAGAAATGTCTCCATACATCAGCCATCACTTGCTCCCCATTCTTCAACCAGCTGTAGGATGGTTTAGGCTTTCCATTGGCCTTACATTCCCAGAAGAGGTTTCCCTCTATGGAAAGAGCTGTGTCCGCCATCGTCTGGAGCCAGTGAGGTTTAGCTTGGAATAAATGAAAAGGTTACCTATTCAAACATGCGTTTTAATTATAGAAGCACTGGATTAGTAAAGAATTGCATCAAGAATCATACAACCATAAAAGCAGCCTGGCATTAAAGCTTAAATTTAAATCAAATTTTAAACTTTACAAGTGGATTACCAGCATAATGAGAAACACGGGATGGTAAACAGATCTGAATATTAACTGGAAATGAATTTAAAGCCCCTGGAATAATAGCCATTTGTCATTTCTACCCTTAGCTTGTTCTGAAATTTCAACAACATTAAGCTCAAACGTCCGCAGAAAAAGGTTTTATGTCGAGCAAATGGGATTCAAGCTGCTGGCCATCTGCATGTTTTCTGGACAACTGTGGATATATATGTTCCATTTGTCCCTCCACCTCACTGTCAGTCGATTTGAAACGGCTCACTTACCGTGGAATGAAATACGGCCCCGTGCAGCATTTTTGCCTCTGCGATTCTCCGCCATGCACTCGTACGTCCCCGCATCCTCCTGCTGGAAATTAGGGATTTCCAGGACGGCATTTGAATTCTTCATTTTGACTTTGCTGGGGAAAGGGACGCCGCTCGTTCTCCTCCAGCTTATTTCTGGGACGGGGCTGTAAAAGAGAAACAAGAAGTTCCCAGGATTGTAACTGTCACTCGCTCTGATCAAAGTGTGATTAAGGACAGAAGGAAAAGTAGTTGTTAGAAAAAGTAAAAGCTTTGTGAATTCTCGTTCCCTGCAAATCAATCCGTGATTGCCAAGCTGTCGGATGCTCTTAAAAGAACTCTTACTTCTGCTCCCTTGTCTTTTTCATGCGTTCCTATGGATTGATCAATCTGAGGATGAGTAATGCTAACGCTTGTGCATTCTTAAATCGTCTTGAGTAGCTGTAATTCATGCATGAATGCGTGTACCGTTTGTGTCACAGGCATACAGTGACTTACTTTCCCAAAGCGAAGCATTCCAGTTTCACCGCTGATTCTTTCGCTGCTGGAACTGAATCAGGAAAATGGACTTCTATTTTGGGTTCATATTCACCCATTACTCCTACAAAAGGGAGACAATAGATGACAAGCTTTTTACATCAGTGATTAACAGCAGACTCACACGCACCGTGAATTAGGCAGAGAGAGAGCAATAACACAGCGGGGCAGCTAATGCAAAAGTTATGCATATGAATACAAAGTGACCAGTGAAGGCATTGTAAAAGAGGGGGGAGGGGGGCTATAAAAGGACTTATTTAGCAGAGATTGATAACATTTGGCTATGTGACTTCATTCAGGAGTTTATTTACATTCACATCACCGGGACAGGTCAGTGACTTCCTTGCAAAGAGAGTAGCCTTCCCTTTATTATTAGCAATCACAACCTGGCAGTCTCTAAGTAAAAGCTGATTTGGGGTCCTCTTCATGTTTTCAGATTAAAAGTCAGAAAAGACTGTGATAAAGCTGACGCACTCTCAGGAAAACATGCAAAATATGCAACTGCATCTTCCTCTGTACTTAGAATATATTTGTGGCATTTTGATAATAACACAACCCAAGAAGCCAGCTCATAAAAGCTTTGTGCTACAGCTGGAATACAAAATGAAATTAGTGGCTTTTATGTAACTCTGTGCCACATTGTAAAAAGACAAGCTTTGGAATTCGTGTCTTTACTAATGGTTAACAACTCATCTGTTGCTGTCTTACGGCTCAGTTTTAGGCTGGTAATAATCCCTTTTGCTGTCCTTTCGATTTTTCTTGTTTGTAATAATGCACTTGTAATTGTTTGACAGTCACAGCTTTCTCATTTTATGTCATCAAAGCTTGTAAACAAATATTAATAGCATTAATAATTCATAAATGTTCCACATTCTTCAGCTGGAGGAGGATAAACACCAGCCAAATGGACTTTTCACAACCCAGCTATTATCTGTTGAGTGCGAAGCAGGTCCTACCACCTTGCTGGAGTACGATCAATTACCTGCTTTTATAATGAAATTAAAATTTGGAACTTAAATTTTAACCAAGATCTTAACGAGCTGAAATCATGATGAATCCGGGAATGCAGCCTTCAGGCAGAGAAGTCTGACAACAGATTAAAGCTGCATGGCATATGAGCATAAAGATGAAAGCCTGATTTTAGTGTTTACCATCGCTTCTGAGGACCAGTGGTGTGGGAGAGCTGAGGATCTTCTCCCTTGTGACAGTGTTGTTAACCACACAGGTGTAGTTGCCCACATCTGAGCGCTCCACTTTGGCGATGTACAGGCTTCCTGTCTCTTGAGAGATGAATCTCCGACTGTCTTGTTGGACAAAGTGAGGGTATTCATTGAAGATCCACGCAAATGTCAGCTCTAGAAGAGAAAGGAAGACAGTTGAACTATGCAGCAGCGGTCCACTTTCACACCTCGGCTGATTTCACACGTGTTAGTCGCATTGGCCCCCGCTGGAACAGCTGTATCAAAAGAACTCGGCTACGGCCTTAAAATGTGAGCGTATCATGTCATTTTCCTTCCCTTATCTCAGTTTCCTTGGGAGGAGATACCAAGACTGGGTGACTGTAGCAGCTATCAGTGCAGAAAAAAAAAGGGAGAGCTAAGGAAAGGGAGCGAAACAAAATGGATTACAGCGCGTCAGTGACCCTCCCCTGGCACATGGCCTCCATTCCCTGGGTCCCTGAGCGACTTAGTTCAGGGGTGGCACAGGCAAGTCAATGGTTGGATTGAGGGATGGATTGGCACAAATATATGTTGTCATGCCCCTTTGCAAATGGTAGGTCTACCATAAGAAAGGAGAGACTTTCCGTGATGAATTACTGTGGCATTTTCTCAAAGAAAACACTGCAAAGACTTTCAAGAGTTAGGAGATGCTCTGTGTAATCAGCCACTTCAAAGGTAGTGGGCTCAGAGTCAAAAGGTGTACACAATGACTGTCAATCGCCCTGAGGGGGGAGCCCATAGATGGGATTGAGCGTCCGAGCTGGGTGCAGCGATGCAGATACAAAGCTGCCTCTGATTAGGCAAAAGCGGCAGCATAGTTCAGAGTCAGCATAACCTGGAGCTGAACTATGTGTCTATAACGGGCAGTAATATCATTTTGCCAAGCAATTCTTTGTTAAGCGACAAAGAAAATACAACACAAGTGGTTTTACAGTACATGGAAGATAAAAGTGCCAAAAAAAAACCCCTTGGAGTAAACAAATGTCTAAGGTGGAGTACAATAACATCTGCTTGCAATGGTACTGTATTTAATTTTTCATAAATGGGTGTTGGGATAATGCATACGGAGGGGAGGAAAAAGCTTGTGCAGAATTCAAAGCCAATGAAGTGTAATGAAAACTAAAGGGAATGCCTCTTACTGTAGGCATCAGATAAAGTTCAAGGTTATGTGGCACATCATCGCTTTCAAATTTTAAAAAGGAAAAGAGGGTGGAGAGAGGGGACAGCAGCGAGAGAGCGAGCCAGGAAGAGAGCAAAAGGGGAAAGAGGTAAGGAAGAAAAACAGGGACAACAGCCTTGCGCAGCTTTACTTTCATTCACTTCGGAAAATGCAGGAAAACACAGCTGTGATACGGTTACAACAGCCAACTGCATATAAACCTGTGTCAAAGAGAAAAGCTGTCAAACTGTATTTCACAGAGTACTTTGACCCATTATCCCAAAGACCAGCTGTACAATGCTGTGCTACAAACTGCTCGCTTGTGAAGGAAATTGGTTGTTCCACTGTGCAAGCTATTGTATCAAGAGGGTGACAAGCTAGGCAGCAGCCATTGTGTTTTTTTTTTTTAGTTTTCCGCAGACACTCAGAGCAGTCGGGCTGAGCAGCCCGTGTCTTTATCTCGTCTATTTGTAGCCTCTGCTTTATCAAATGCAATTTTAGACTCTCACTTGAACAATTAAAGCATCTTTTTTCTTGAATGTGTGGAGGTGCTTGAATATAAGGCTAACAGCCAACAGTGCTATGTTCGTTATTTTAGCCTAAATACTGTAAATAGTGTGAAGACAGAAGCCTGGCTCTGTGCGAAAACAAAACAAAGCAAACACCTCTTAGCTCCTCTGAAGCTCGCTAATTAGCATATTTATTTCTGTAAAGCTCAAGTGCAAAAAAAAAAAAGAGAAATTGTGGTTTTATGGAGGTTATCATTCTGGCACCCTACCTCCTTTATAACCACAACATTTTATTCAGACTAAGCAAATCATTATACTGTGGTAATGAGCTGCTTCAGAGGTGCCGTGGCCCAAATATTGTCATTTTTAGCCATCACCAAGCTAATTTCTTTCCTGTTTCCAGCTTTGTTTGAAGCTAGGCTAGCTACTTGCTGGCTTTAGCCTCACACAAGCAAGAAAAAGTATATTTATTTCCTAATTTAACTCTCAATGAAAGTGAATAAATATCTTTCTAATTTGAGAAACATGGCTTTAATTAAAAAAAAAAGAATCTGAATGAAGTGGAAAGAAAAGCACCCAAGTGCGGCTGGCTTATAGGTGTTCTCAATAAACAACATTAAGATGATTATTAAGAGCATGTGCACACATTAATGGGTGTAAAACTGGATTACGTTTAAGAAAAGGCAGTAATTATTCATCAAAGTTTGCAGTTTGCTCTCAGTGGAGGTAATTCTTATGAGCTGTGTTTAAATAACAACAACATATAGCAAACTTACCTCCAGAATGTGGCGGTGGTCCACATAAAAGAACCACTCCTTGGCCTTCACGCACATTGACAGCACTCCTCACTGATTGAGTTTTGAAGTTATCCAGGTCTGATGAGACAGAAAACATTGAAACAGAAGTGGGTGGCAGTTTAAAAGAATACGACTGACAGTCAGATTGACCAAAAAGTGTGATTCAAAGATTTTCTATATCCACGAGGGTTACTTTTAAAGAGATAGTTTTGAAAACGGGGGACATAATTCTCCCCAAACTCCCTTCACAGAATCACTGAGCCATGTTTTTGATGCTACATTTTGAAGATTGGGACTTTATAAGGCATCATTGATTGCCCTGGGACACCTCATGACAGCCTCCAATACTTTCAAAGGCATCTGGTGTGCTGATGAAATAGACGAACCTGACTCTGTGACGTTTACCCTGCAACGCTGCACTTTAGGAAGAGATTAGGCTGAAATAAGATAAAACGAGCAGGGGAAAGAAGAAAATACTGTGCACAGACTGAACAAACACTGGTGAGCGCGCATGACAAATGACAGTTTGCAGTGCCAGCAGCAATAAGTAACATCATTATTAAATGTGGTGTAATCTTGCACTTAAAAGCATTAGCTTCCCCATCAATACTCTCAGCACAATCTATCCCCCTGCAAATGAATGAGCAGTTGCTGGCAGACAAAAACTAAACCTGGGATGATAAACCACCCCTGGCTTCATGACTGATGGAGGGAAGCTGCTGCAGTCCGCTCTGTACTCTGTCTGCACCCTCTGGCTAACAGCCTGGAGTAAGCCTTCCAAACACAAACAAAAGAAAGTCAGTGTGACCGATAAGGGAAATTAGGAGAAGGAAGATTATGGAGAGAAGTGGGACAGAGTGTTGGTAAGATTAATGAGCGGCTCTCTGATGACCGCAGTGAAATCAAACAGAGCCAAGTCACGGCAGGACACTTAGAAGGCCACAGGAGGAGATGGCTGACTTGAAATACAGACAGAGGCATCCTGATCTCACTAGGTTGTCTTTAGAAGAAATGTCAATAAGAGAGTCGATCTTCAAATGACATTTAGGATTCTCAGGAACCGTGTTGGAGCAAGAAACGTACAGTGCTACGTACTGATCAAATCTTTGGTAGATGTGCACTAAAACATTTATATAATGAATACGGACCTAGAATGTTTAATTCAACAAACGCATGGATTTTTTTCCCCACAGTTGTGGCCAATTTCTGGATTATTTCTTCACAAATTAAGCAAGTAAAAGGACTAGAGCTGATTCCAAATGTGGCAATTACATTTGGAAGCTTTTTCTGTAAAACCGCATGTGGTCAAAGGAGCATGCAATTGGAAAAAAAGGACCATCCTCAGGCTTTAAAAACAAAGTGAATACATCAGAGAGATAGTGGGAACATTAGGGGGAGGCCAAATCAACAGTTTGGGACATTCCGAGAGAAAAGAATGAGTTCATCAACATAAAAAGGCCTGGATGTCTGCTGTGAAGGGGCTTTTCCATGGCGAAAAGCCCCTTCACTATTCAGCTCAGGACGTTGGTGTTTCTCTTCCAATTCAATCATAAAACCAAGACTTTGTGAGAGAAAACACAAAAGTGATGAGTAAAATACTGATCGGTCTCAAAAATTGAAAGGCCTGATTGGATCTTGCCAAATCAGCTGAAACTAACATCAGCCGAAACTAAGATCAGCCTTTATCAAAATAAGGTAGGTAAAAACTGTGAAGACCATCCCGAGCACACAACATCCTGTGTAAAACACAGCGAGGGCAGTGTGATGCAAAGACACTGTTCTCACTGACAGAAGACAGAAGCAGCTGGATTCATTCTGAAGTGAACAGTTCTGCTCTTACGGCTCAGATTCACATAAATGCAGCAAAATATTTAGAGACTCAAAACCAACTCAGGAGTGTCTGAAGCCAAATCAGTGCAGTTATGCAATGTCTGAGCCAATCACCTGTCCCCAGTCTTATTGAGTTGCTTATCACTTGCTGAAGATGAAATTTTAAGTTAGACCCACAAAGTAGCATCTGAAGATGTGTGAAAAAAGTGAAAAGCATTAACCAGAAATTCATTCTTCCTTAGCTACTGGTGAGAGGCAGGGTACGTGCCTCTCACCAGTAGCAAAGTATTACAAATGAGCATCAACTACAACTACATTAGACACCTGAAAATATGCACATATTGGAAAGTGCAACTGTAACCACTAAACAAAAAGAACAAAAATTGTGGCAAGGTTCAGACATTTATGGATACAACTGCTCAACAAGCCTGGCAACAGCTGTTTATAATAATAATGGCAGGACCTTTAGAAGCAGGGTAAGGTGAATCAGAGGTTTACTAATAATTACTTGGTGAAAGAGAAACAGATGGCGCCTCTTCTTACAAAACTGCACAGAGACGGGTGAAGATGAAGCTGGACTCGGTGCTGGAGGGGATGTGCTTCTTTCTTTGCTGGGAAAAAGAATAATGGGCTTCACTGGAGTGAACTGACCACACACTGTAACTCTGAAAGCTAAAGGCCAAACTCACTGTAGCTTCAGTGATTCCTTTGTAAGCAGAATCAGTCTTTGCCATACGAGAATGGCTTGCCTAGAGATTACAGAGTGACCATTACAGCTCGATGATGATTGGTCTGGGCAACGGCGGCGCCATAGAGACATTCCCTGTTATATATTGTGTCCTACTGAGCTCTTGAGTAAGCTCCTTTACCTGCTACTCAGGCACTACAGCACTGGTCTCTAAGCATATGACGTACTATTTTTCCAAAGCTTCTGGTAAAATTGTACCCAGTGACACAATTTCTATCTCTGTCTGCACCAGCATTGCTTTAAAAAACGTCTGACAAGGAAAGAAACATGACAATGTGACAAGTTGTAAAGAAGCCAGCAGTTTATTCTGACTGTTTAAATAATAGGAACAGCTGTGTCACATTCTGACTGTCAGGAGAGAATCAAGCAATGGTCAGTGAGTCTTGTATGCCAATTTTCACAGCGTGACTCTTTCTTAGCCCCTGTGAATGTATGTAATGCGTAAAAAATCAACTCTGCAGAAAAATAAAATCTATCCTATCATCAAACGTAAGGAGCTTGTATTATTTTTTAAGCCACAGCTCTTCCAAAGACTGAAACAGGAAAATAACTGCTGCAGATCCCCTTCTGCTAATATGTAATTCATGAAATACAGATATAAAGAGACAATGGTAATTCAAACCACTGGGTTTGAGACCTGTGTGATCATATAAGTGGCCTTTTTTTTCTGAATTCCCAGATCTCATAAATGAGTTTGACCTTGGTTGTATGAAAGCAGACTTTTTAAATCACAGTATTTTAAATTAATTTGGAACATTTTTTTACATTGTAAAAATGAGCTGTGGGAGGATATGCTTACAGTGGTTGCAGCTGAATTGTGAAGGCTAAGCAAAGCAAAAGAAAGCACGACATTTCTATCTTAGGGCAGTAGCCTCATTACATGGAAAAACTGAATATCAGCCTTGCTGATCTTCTAGACCTCCCTCACTGTGCATTAGGCAAGACAATAAATGTCAAGCAGTTCTCCTCTTCACCCAGTCCCCACGAGTGAGATTCATTACTGAGCTGTAGGGATAATGGCAGTCCATCTCCTGAGAGGAAGTGAAAGGCTCTCTATCCTTGGGACATGATCAATAGTCAGGAGGCCTGATCAAGAGAGGAGAGGTGCCTCTACACTGCCTGTCTGGAAGGTGGGACCACAACCAACAGCATCACTTCTCAGCCCCTTTTGTCTTCGCAGGCTGCTATAGCAGCAGTCCTGCTACTGTCTGATCCACTTACAGTCTTCTGCGCATATTACACATAAAGAAGTAGCTGGTGATTGCATAGACACAAAGACCTCTTAAGAGTTAGTTGTGTTTGTCCGCTTTAAAGTCTGTATCACAGAGGCTTGCACTTGGTGAAATATGAGGCAGTTTGGATGGAGCATAGATGCTGTCAGAGCTGGAACCGCTAATGAGAATCAATGGAGTTCAGAAGCAGTCAGAAGCTTCCTCACCCACTGTGTTTGTTGTATCTGACATTTCATTCGATTACCATTTCCCCTCTTGAAAATCTATTCCCAGGCAATCTAAATGAGAAATCGTAATAGTAAATGAAAAAAAAAGAAGGAAGGCCTGGGCTGCAAGCATATTACCCTAATGTCAGGCTGTCAGACAGCAGATACAAAGAGATGCTAGAATGTCATAAGTGTGTCAGAACCATACCAGGAATGTGTTAGCAATTGTAGGATCACTTACATGCAAATTGAAGGCTGGCTCTGCGGCTGAGTATGGACCCCCACGTGTTGAAAGCTGTGCACTGGTACACCCCGGTGTCTTGGTCCTTGTCCAGGTTGCTAATGATCAGGCTGCCCCCAGACATGTGACGCCGGTAGTCATTCCCAAGATCAATGAGTGTTCCGTTTAGTGACCATCTGGAAAAACGCAAACACAATCAGTAGCTGAGCCCCCTGGAGATGAACACTCGCAGCGTTTATCGATTTGATCAGTCCGCCCACATCATGCTGCGAGGATAAAAGGTGAGCAATAAGACCAGGGCCCTGTATTATTAATGCAGAAATGCGAACAGCTTTTGCAGCGAGTTAGGAACAAAGAAAGCATTTCTTGTCACTTTAGACTTCAGTAGTCTTCAGTTTGACTTCATTTAAGGATTCTGTTTTGCTGTTAATTTAGGCAAATTTCCAAAACCCAGCAAATCATCTGTGGTGAATATTGATTTTCTCCTAGTTGCATGAAGAAGTGGATTTTATTTCATCTCATTTTTAATTACCTCCACAGAGGAGGATTGGTACGCTTTAAAAGTCTGCGAGCCAGATGTCTGGAAAGAAAAAAGGTTTGCTTTTCTGATGTTTGCTTAAAATCTTATCTGGACATGTGAAAAAGGTGAACAAAACAAAAACAAACATACTGACGTCCTCACCTTGGCATGCAGTATAAAGTACTGGTCATATGATATTTGGTCAAATCAGATTACCCTGACAAAGCACTGACTTAAATACCTGCACTTAGACTGCGTTCCTTGTTTAAGATTTAGTTTCCATAATTTAAAGATGCAATGAAACATTATCAAGTAATCAATGGCAAAGTAACTGTAAAATAATATAATTAAATACTTTTCTCACATGTCATCTGGATTTACAGCTACTTTTTATGGTATTAAATGATCCTGATTACAGGTAAGTCATACCTTTCCCACTGTGAAGATATCTATGTATCTATACTGCTACATTTACTTCTGTTCAAAGTATATGCACAACTTCATAAAGCAGCCATCGTGGCTGTAGACATTGGAGTTTTTGTAGCGTAGATGTAAATGAAAAAGAAATACTATGACTGTATGCCTACAATGCCTACAATCTGATGCAAATTGAAATATAAATGGAAAATAAAATGTGTAAACATTTTGTGGTTGGAGAATTACAAATGTAAAGGTCTGTGCGGCTCTGGCAGATTTATGCATTCTTTGAGTGCTTTCTAATTAGTTTTCTGTTTGTGCTTTTGTGTTTCTGACTTATTGCTTTCTGACACTTTCATATTGCATTGTCTACAGACCATTTCCTTCAAAGAAAGGTCACGAGACACTCTGTCATGCAAACAGAATTCAGGAAGTGACAGCTATTAATCACAGCTACCATCAGAGAGGAAACACTGAATAATGTTCACGCTGAATAATAAAAACACTTCATATGTATTTCACTGGATTTCAAGGAGATGCAAAACTCCTATACGGTACAGAGCATCACAGAGCATTAACACTGATAAAAAATCAGAGTTCCTCAAACTATTTTAGAAGTAAAGAAATATTTTAATGCCATGTGTAATGCTGCCTTTGCAACAGGACTGTAAAATGACAATTCCAGTGACATGAGGGGGAAAAAAATCAATATACATCTGTTCCTTCCTAGGCAAACTAGCAGGCAGTTAGGATGATGCCTCATATATTCCTAAAGCCATTCGTGGTTCTCCCCAGTTTCCTCCCTAACAGATTACAAAAGACGAAGCTGTCTTTCATCTCGTAGCCTGTATTATCATCTAACAGTCTGTGCCCGTCACTTAATCTGACTGATTTTGTCACTGTTCCAACAATATTACTTTTAAATGTCCTGAACTTGAAAAAGCTCAGGTTTCCAAGAATATATCTGACAGCACAGGCGTTCAAAATAAAACACTACCATTTCACTATTTGCTCATGATGTCCCTTTATGCCTCCATTTGAATTCTCCACTGTCTAATTCTTCCTCTGTTTGTGCCAAAGGGAGGATTATTGTATGTGCGAGAGGAGGTTAAATGGCAAAGGATGAGAAGCTAGTCAGACTTGCAGCAACCCAGCATGATTGAACTTAATGGGAAAGGAAGGTGGGTAGCCTGGACAGATCACACACCCTTGGAGCAGACAGCGATGGTGCCTCTGCTCCACCAACACAATCAGTAGGCCACCCACCCACTTGTGCTGCACAAACATCTGAGACAAGCTTTGATATTAGCAGACCTGGGGAACCTTTTTTTTTGTATGGGATTCATAGATAAGGAAATATCAACAAGGGCAAAAGGGATGCTGACTTCTTGTAAGCACAGTCTTGTGTAACATGCACTGTCCTTTAGTCATTGCAGTATGCAGCTATGCCAGTGTTTGCCATTACCGTCCAATTTTGAGCTAAATAATGAGCCCGCTCTTGCAACTTTTCCCATGGTGACAGTGGAAACTCTGAAAACATATGAAAGAACATCCACATAACACGCTGTACAAAACATCTCTATAGACCCAACCAGTCTGCACTGCTTTACATCAAAGGGACAAGAAAGTAGAAATGTACCTATCTCTTAATGGAGTGCTCTGTCACAGCTTTGTGGGCCTCGGATGTGCACATAGTGAGATTTTCCACTTTCACCTGTTAAATTTATTTTACAGTTTATTTGAATTTTATTTCATTTGAGAAAATGTGACATACGTCTCAGTCTCACCTGCTTTCTGCAGAATTCCTGCATGTAGTACCTGATAATCAATGCGTGCATTTCCCTCATCACTTACTTATTTACATACATCCACTCAGTCACCATTCAAAATCAGTGATCACTCTATTTTATAGACAATTCAGATCATGCCCATCAAAAATGTGTCTGTATAATATACAATCATTTTTAGAAAGTCTGAATTTTATTAGTGATTAATAAATTTACTGATGCTTTGTATATTCGATATTTTTAACTACCGACTATTTAAATGTAGACTGTGTTACACTGCATTTTGTTATTGACAATGGCTTTTACAGATGTTTTTGTACTTTACCTTATTGAACTCTTCCAAATGATGACATCAAGTTGTCAGGAAAGATCAAAATTGCATCACTTACATAAATAAATGTTCTAATTTGTACATTAACAAATCTATAGTTTCTAACTTATAAAAGCATAAGAAAAATGAATGTTTAAGCTTTATAAAATTAAAGGCAGGTAGTCTTTAACACATAAAAATACACATAAACTAGGACTAATAAGAGTTTTTAATGTTATTAACTCAATAATGACAGTTAAATTATGAGTTTCTTACTTTCCATATATGTGAATGAACCGTCATCACGTGTATATTAAACGTGTCTGCAGTTTCCAATAATCAATCAGATTGACAATTTTAGATTATTAATAAAAGCTTTTACACATATTAGCTGTCATAAATGTAAGGTGTTTGTAAAAGCACAACATTTTGCAAAGGTGTTGCGTTTTATCACAAAATGTATCCATTAATAAACAGTTTTAAACAATAAAATACATCATTCATATGGATGTTATTAAGTATGAATATAAGAGATAATATAATATAAGTGAACTATCGGTTCATGCTGTCAAATAAACTGGGAGCAAAAGTTCTCTCAGAGTAAGTTACTGAAAAAGACAAAAAAATGTTCAAGTCTTCAGTTTCAAATTCTAGTAAGTGATTTGTTATGGGTTCTTACAGTAATCTGTAGCTGTCAGTGATAATAGGTTGTTATAAATGGATTTAGAGGAGAAGATGAATTACAGAGAGTCATGCTGAAAGAGGGTTTTTTTTCTTCCCAACCTGGCAACTCAATAAAACACTTAAACTCTTTTACTGCATCAGTAAAAGAGTTTGGCAAGCCAGAGTTCTTAATGTTAGTGCGCTGAGTGAAACACACTGAATCCAACACCACATCAGGCAGAGAGGAGCTTACAGTAAGTCACAGAGAGAGAGTCCAGGAGAACAGTCATATTTGCTGCGGTGTGCTGCAGGCACAGACTGAGCTGAGCATGCTCTGAATGAACTCCTCGTGACCTTGAGGTTCACATCAATTTTGCATGAGGTCTCCTCGTCAAATAGACCGGGGACGATACTGCACCACTGGCTCACCTGGCTTTCCTTGAGGCCAGACACCCACAGAGACAGCAGTGACCACCGAGACCACATGCAGTTCACACATACACAATTGCAGGGCTTAGGAGCTGATAATGGAAATTCAACTGCTGACCAGGGTACTCTCTGCTATTATATTTAGCAGGCTATTGCTGCTGCCTTTTAATAAAATGGTGTTCATTTTGCTGTCGAGCCAAACGTAAGAACGTAACACCACAGACAGACTTAAAATCGCCCTGTATCAGTGTCACTTTGCTGTGCAAAATCCTGTGAGCTTAGCGATATATTAGTAGATACAGATAATATAGCACCCGCAATCACATGCATATTGTACATATCGACATTATCTGCGCTTTACAGTTTCAATTTATGGCCTGAAAGCAATACTCAAATTAATGAATGAATACTCGTGCAGCTCGATCAAAGTCCACATATGCAGAATTAACCTGCGCCTAAGACCACATCGCTGCACTCTCTCTCAGTTCATCCATTTGTTTTTGAAATGATTTTGCAAGCCCGAGGCTCAGAGAATTTTCTCAGCCTATAAAAGAGCATGTAACTCTCTAAAAGATAAAAATCGATTCTATTTGTTACAGTTTCTCGATTCGGTGCCGTTATCTGTGACTGAATTCTAATCACACCCTCCCAGTTCTACGCGTGTCCCTGTTACCCCGTTCCAACTGGTAAACAAAGGTAGAGTCGTGCATCTGCCCGAAGTCGCATTACATGATAGCAGACCCCAACCGAAGCACTTTTTTTATTCCCCTTTTCCAATCACTACTGTGCCCTTGATTCTGTGTTACGGCAGATTCATAGTAAACACAGTGACAGGTGTATTCATAAAGCAGCGCCCTGAGCCCCGGAGTGTGCTCTGGCGCTACGCTGGACTATTTGTCAACTGAAAAACTGTCAGGGTTCCCGTTCATATATTCACCGTGTAGGCGAGGTGAAGGTGGAACGGCGCGCTGAAAACAAAATCAGGCGTTATGAAGCCAGCTAGCGACAATAACTCACTGGGATTATGAGCATAAACACAAATGACAACGA